CTCTCTCTCTCTACTTTTTTCATTATTTTCTTAGTTTTTAGTTTTAAGCTTTTAGCTAATACTCTTAATCCCTCTCGACACTTGTAGTTTATGCAATTCCTTACTTCTGTCTACTTTGGTAACGATTTCTTCCCTCTTTACTTTTAGTAATTTAATTGCTTTGATTTAATTATGCTTTCTTTAATTTCCTTGCTTAGTTTAGATTTAAATATGTGCGAGTAGTTTTATTTCTAGGGTTGTGGGGATCCATAATTAATATGACGGGGTAATTTATTATTGTTGATTGTCAATGTTTTGGTTGATTTCCTATTAATTGATTTAATGCTATGCAATTAGATTTGCGCAGGTTTAATTGTATGAGTTATGCAATATTGATTCGAGATTCGAGAGATGAGAATTGATGTTTAGGCTTAGTTTCAATAGGCAAGTTAATTTATAAATTGTTTAGTTAAGATTCGAGAAATGCGATTTAATACCGGTAGATTAATTCTGTGATCGTAATACGTAGCGAAAGCCCTTTATGATCTGATTAATCTATGCGTTGATGATTGATTATTATGTTTTACCCTGGAATATTATTTATTAGTGAACCTATACCCTAGGCCTTTTATTATTGTTTTCCTCCCTTATTTAATTTGCTTTAGTTTAGTTATTAGTTTAATTCTCACAAAAACAATTTGGTTACTTGATAATTTAGATTATATTAATTAATTAGGAATAGAAAGACATGTTTCTCTGTGGATTCGACCTACTTATTTATCTATAGTAGTTAGTGGTTTTAGGAATTACTTTTGATTAGGTGATACGACTTTATCTTGTCAAAATTAACCATTGGTCCCCACACAAAAATCGATACACACTCCCACTTGGCTGGGAAGCCCAGCCAGCCAGCTAGCACATCGTTAGCTAGCCCGCAATGCATGCGCAGCCAGCCAGCACGCATGCATCGCTGCTGCTTGGTGCGTGCTGCTAGGCGTTGCTATGCGAGGTTGCTGCTTGATAGCACACACGCACAGCCAAGCATGCCCAGCACGCTGCTGGCTGGTGCGTGGTGCTGTGCGATGTGCGAAGTTGCTGCTAGCTATGCGCCAAGCCCTAGTACGCTAGCAAGCACGCAAGGCACCATTCCTGCGTTGCTTGCGATAGCAAGGCCGAACAAGCCTAGCATGCTAATATGCTTGCGAGCTAGCGAAGGGCTTGGGCTAGCATGTTGCGATGGTTAGGGCTGCTATGCTAGCATGCCCAGCCATGCACAGCCACACCACACGCATGCACGCATCTTGCGATGCTTGTGCCATGCGATGTGCGTGTGCTAGGGGATGCTAGACACACATTGATTGGTACCTTGCCTAGCCTAGCACTCACATGGCTAGACCAATGCGAGGCTACGACAAGGCTCGAACTTGTTGCTTGTTTGATTTCACGTCTCGTCGAATTCTAAATTCGACTCGACTTGCGACGCTCGGTCTCGACGCTCTAAGCTCGATATCCGACGTCTTTGTTCGTAATACTCCGATGACTCATCTAATCCTTCGAATTGATTCGTCGTCTCGGATCGGTTGTTCGATTGGGTTCGACCCAAAGGGTTCAGTCAAGATTAAGCTGTAATATTAATTGTACATTGATATTACTGATCGGAAGCGGCCTCCACCTAGTCATTCCGATCACTTGACCTCACTGAAGAATTAGCTTTCTAATAATTCTGAACCCTCTATCGAAATAATATACTTTTTGGAAGGACACCATTCATTTCAGTCATCACTCATCACAAATATGTGCTCCATTGTTACTATTGTATGATGTGAAGCAAAATTATACAAGGGGTAGTTGTAGTTATCAAATACTTCATATGTATTTAATATATTTATTGTAATTAAACCACCTTTTTTTAGTGTGAAAATTCTTGACAGAGGGTAGGTAATCTTTTAAATTTGCTTATTTTTTATGGCTATAAACTAGATAAAGTACAAGATATAAATTTAAGTAAGAAAATTATCTTGCAAAAGTACTTATACTATATACAAATTTTACAAGTGTTATATCTACAGTTAACTTGACCATTCTTTATGTTGCTTGTAAAATAAGATATCTACAATTGTACTTGTATAATTCAACTCTTTTTTTTTTATCCTTTAACGTAACATTTAGCCATTCAATCTCAAAACAATATAGCCTAGGCCATTGGATATAGCATTTTATCATTGTGAGTTGCATGTAAATTGGGCCTAGGTCATACTCAAATTGTAGCCATTAGCTGAGAAATAAATAAAATAAGAAGGAACTCATTAAATACATTTTTTATATAATCATATTTGTATAAGCTACATGTACTTATCTGATTGAAACTGAAAATTTAAACTTCTAATCTGCACTAATACAAACATTTGTTCCTATTTTAACTATTCAACATTAATAATAGCTATGTAATCAAATACTCTTAGTCTGTAGAATACTTTTTAAAAGTACAGTAGGTTCTTACCGTAGCAAGCTCCATACATTACAAGTTCAAACTATTTTTATTTACCTTATTGATAGCATTCTAACCTTCAGTTTGAGCAGAATCCAAAATCAAGAGACCCTGCAATGTTAACCAGTAATTGTCAGAACTAATGAATTAATGTGTAAAGCAATATGACATTGAAATCAATAATTGAACGTAATTGCAAGCATATTTATTTGTGTTTGAAAGATAGGAAGATTACCTCATAATTGAATAACCTTAACTATGGTGGAGAGCTTGATGAAGTACCAGTTTCCATAACATATTAATAATACAAGCTAATCGCAAAACTTTATATGACACTACATTTTTAACAGCATTCTGTGGATATAGGTCTGGTGGTTTAGTAGAAAAGACCTGAACATCTCTTGCTTTCTTGGAACGAGAGAGTGAAACATACAATTGACCAAGAGAAAAGCAAGAGCGAGGTAAGTATATTGACACTTGATTGAGAGTTTGTCCTTGAGACTTATTGATTGTCATTGCAAAACTCAACTTGATAGAGAACTGCTTCCATTCAAACTGGAACGGATAATTAGTAGAACTTGAAGGCCTTAGATTAACTCTGTGAATGAAGACATGCTCTCCTTTATAATGTCCAACTGCAATTACACATTCAATCACATTTGGAAAGAATCTTTTGCAAATAAGTCGAGTGCCACTACATAAGCCTGATGATGGTAAGATGTTCTGTAGCAATATCACTAGGCAATTCTCTTTCAGTACAAGTTCGTGTGGACTCATACCTCCTGGACAAAGTTTGTTCATAAACTCTGTGGGATATATACTGCATGTTTCATTTAGCATAATATCAAAACTCTTGTAAGTGACAATGTCACCAGGGAACTTGTCAATCATAACTGAATTGATAGAATCAACATCATCATTCAATGAATTTAAAATTTCCCTTGTTATGAAAACATCATCCACAAAGCCACCTTGCATGATTTCAAGAAATGTCGTTTCTGTCAGATTAGTTATTAAGCTTGTGTCATCTTCAAGAGAATGTGCAACTTGAATTGGCAAATCAACGAATGCAATTTCAGTGGACTATTATTGACCATTGCCCAAGGCAAGTAAGAAAGAGGAATATGCAGGATCTTCTCGTGCTCGAATATTTTCTGTAAGTTTAAACTTTATGAATGTCTCCCATAAATGTGAAGTGACAATACTTGTGTCTACTGCCTCTTTCATTGTTTTTTGAGGAACAACTGGTAGAACTTGTCTGAAATTTCCTCGAAAGAAAACTACCTTCCCACCAAAGGCAGCTGTTGTGTTACATAGATCTTGTAATAGTAAATCAAGGGATTTAATATTTTGTTTTTTGCCATTGAAGATTCATCCCATGTAATTAGTGTGGTTTCCCTTAGAAGTGTTGCTAGACTACCCTGTTTAGGAACGACACATGCTAAGGATATGTCACTGTTAAGAGGTATTTTAAACCTTGAATGAGTTGTACGACCAGAGGGAATATTTGCTGCAGTAATATCTGAGGTTGCTGTGGGCAATACAATTTTATTCATCAAGCGAATCTCTACATAAAAGGCATTATATAAGAAAGTTTTGCTTGTACCTCCAGGACCATTTATGAAAAAAGCACCTGATTTCCCTTTTGTGACAAATTCCATGGTACATCTGAAAGCAGCATTCTGTGCAGAATTTAATCTAGATCGGCATGTAAGGCACTCCTCTGGAATAGGCGCATCAAGAGCATCTATAATATCCTTTGTTCTTCTAAAACCATCATCAACTTGGCTATTTAAATGATCTAAGCCAAATGTAGCTAATGATTTTCCCATTGCTTCAAGATGTTGTTCAAGAGACCTAACAGTCAACTGATGGACTTTTTGCATATCATCTGGATATCTGTAATAGAAATCCTCAGATAAGGAAGGGAAAAATTTGTTCCATAAACCAGATGGATCACTCATTTGACAAAATATGAGCACTGTTGCAAACAAACGGTGCAAGGCTACTAGGTGTTGAACTTCAGAAGCTTCAGTCAAATTAAAGCTAAATCTGCTACATCATCTTCTTCTATCAAGCCTAATTTATGAGCAGCCTCTTGAAAAGTAGGACAGACATAACCATTTATAGTTTGTAAATTCTCAAAAGATGTAGGACTTCTAACGTTCAACAATAAAAGGCGCAAAAAAAAAATGTTCACCTTCTGCAGGGTATACAAAAGCCAATCTTCCTATTGCAAATCTGTTTGTAGCCCTGTCAGTCCATTATTTAGCCTTTGCATCCCATTTGAAATGTTCACAGGATTCACTGTATAAATAACCAGTACCACCTTCTACTGCAGCATTCGTTGCAAAGAATTCGGTTAGCAGAGTCCTTGAATGCTAGAGTCAGAAATAACAGTGTTTAACCTCTCATGTGGCCAAAGATGAACTGTTTGCATATTGGGAAGATGAACTTTTAGAGGTAATACTGATGGAGACATCTCAAACAAATCAAAACTAAATATTCGCCAAGCAGCTTCACATGGAGAAACCTATCTTCCTGGCTGATATTGTTCAATTTCATCTACAGAATCATCATCAGCAAGGTGAACATTATAAGAAATCCTGTCATGTCCCTTGTAAACATATTTATAGAGATATTTTACTGCCTTGATTGTAGAGCAAGCTTCGACATTAATATGACAATCAAACAACATAGACAAATAAGGATTGTAAGGAATCACCCATTGGTTGTTTAGCTGTGCACCACGAACAATGACATTTTCCCCAGTGTTTCTTCTTCGGTATATAGAATTAACATCCTTATTTGTACTTGTTTCAGATGCATATGGTCTAGGGAATTTATTCTTACAGCTTAGCTTTTTCCCTTCTTTCCTCATACATGGACAATGCGGATTTAATGAGCCACATGGACCATGCATCATGTGTGCTAGAACAATCCTGCAAAGAATAGGGTTAGAAGTATCTGGAATTTCAACACATACAAATTTATCATAATCAGCAAGACACTTCAGCTTGAATTCTGGTTTTAAGATTATCAAGAAATGAGCATGTGGAAGGCCTCATTTTTAAAACTCTACAACATACACCATAGCTGCAACCGTACCAAATACCTTTTTCTCCATAATTTCTCTTTTCAATGCAAGTAGTTTTATTCTAAAGATCCGTGCTACTAAATCAGGACGATCTTGGGCTGCTTCACTAGGTGCTAATTCAGAATTTTTTTCTAGCTAGTTAGCATTACATTTCATCGTGACAAACAAATCAGGCTTACCAAATCTCTGCACCAAAGCCATGGCATTAAGATACCGTTTTTTCATATCCCGAGGATCTCCTATGAAACTTGGAGGCAGGATTACTCTTTGACCAACATTGTGCACTTTAGTTTCTCCACTATCTAAAGAATCAAGGATTCCTTGACATAAATCAGCTCTAATGGTTGACTGGTTATTGCGTAGATAGTCAAGCCTTGTATTCTCTATCTTGACATACATGTCAACAATGTATTATTGTAAACATCTACCAGCTCTCAGCAAGAAATTGTTAGGCCGTATTTGCAATCTATATGTATAATATTCTCTTGGAGAAATGAATTTATCAGCACGCGTATGCTTCTTCTTTGCCCCTGTAAATTGTAAATGCATGTTTTTAAGTATCAGAATATAATAATACACTTGAACATAAATATAATCGTGTACTTACGTATTTCTTCCTAACTCAACAAGTCTTCAACATTGTGGATAGCACATGACATTATTGAATCCGGGTACAAACTTGCTTGCCTTCTATCAGCATGAGATGCTTTCTTTATCCCTTGCATCTAACCACATTCTCCACGAGGAAATAACAATGGATATTGTATGGGTCATAACACCCATAAGTGTGATAGATTTGATGAGATTCACAAGATTTACTAGATACAAGTATGTGAAGGCTTAAATATCACTTGATGAAGCACTGTCTAGCCAAATCACAGCAACATCATCAACAGCTGGGGCATTGTACACACGTTGATCATATACTGTATTTTTATTCAATACAATACGTGTGTCTTCAGCTACATCTCTTTCTTTTAAAGAACGGAAAAATGCAGCGAATGGACTCTACTGAGAAACACTCATAAGAATATCAATTATATCTTGCCTTAATTCTAGAAAAGACCCAACCCTATTCTCAGCTTCATGTTGGCCATCACAGAAATACATTTGCAGGTATTTAGGTGGCCCATCATCAGGTAATAAATCAGGTACAAAATGATATAGTTGGCCATGCAACTTGAACACATAAATGCCCTTGTATGTACTTGTATCAAAATTTCCACCGATAGATCTAAATGCAAATAGATTATTATACAACCGAGCATACTTTCGAAAGTGTACAACATCTTCTTCCAGTGATGTGAATAAGGGAATAAGTTCGGGAGGGTACTCATTTACAGCTAGTTGGATATCTCCATCACCACAGCGGAAATGGACAGTCTCACTTTCAAATATTTTAGCATAACATTTTAAACAATAATGAGGTGCACACAAAGTATATGACTTTTTGGGTAGCGGCTGACCAATCATTGCTGCAGGTATACCTATGTACAATACAAGATATAAATGGAAGTACATAAAAGCTTCTAAGATATAAAACAAGACAAAGTAGCTTTAATTTTAAAACATACACTTTTCTTTCTGTTTTGGAGCTTTTTTTACCACCTTCTTAGCCACAGTAATACCTTTTCCCCTGCAAGGTAATCAAAGACACCTATATGTAATTAGTCAAAATATCATTACATTTGATATTTATATACACATACCTCTTTGCATGTACGCTTCCATTTTTTTTAGTGCATCGACTACGTTTAGTCAACTGCGTCTGAGATGTGCTACCAATTTCTTGTTCACTGTATATTTGCAAAGGCAATAAGAACAATAAATTTTAAAACCAATTTAAAAATATCCCTTCTTCTGCTCTTCCTTCATCTCTCAAATGTCGAAAGGAGAGGAAAGGAAATGAAGCTGAAGGCTATGATTCTAATTCTAATCAGTGCATAAAGTAGCTGTAGTAAATTACAAATGGACAATGGTATGCAGAATTTGCAAATGCAAAATAAACATCCTGCACAGTAATCTGGTTAAGTCTATAGGCAAATATTGACAGATTTTGAATACAAGTACTTCTCTGAGTTATGATTAACCTTTAAGTTATAAGTAAATATTAGACACAGAACTTTAAGTAACAACAATAGTATACCTATATCTGTAAAATTCAGATGATTCTTCAATTGAACGTCTTCTTTTAGACACTCTTCGAATAAGCTGAGTTGAATCATGTACTGATGGACTATATGTAGAAGTTAAATTGTCGTAGTCAGTATGAAATATAGAACTAATTGTAATGTAAATACTAATAATTGTTTCAGTACCTAACAGATGATGATTCAGATGACTATTATGCAGCCTAATTTAATCGCTGACAACTCTTACAAGATAACCGTGGTATTCCAGAATGACAATCTACCATACAAAAGGAAGTTTCAATAAAAGGTTTACATTATTCATATCAGTATTGTCCTTAAGTATAAAATTCTTGATATAATGAGTGCAAAACATGTAAAGGACAGAAAGAACTACCCATTAATTATAATGTAACTCTGCAAAGTGATTACTGAAAAGGCAATTAAGCTATATGCAGTAACCTAACAACCATAAATGATTTCAGTACTTTATCATCTGCGGACATCAAAGAATATAATTTCAAACAATAAACAAACACCATTAAACATCAAGGGCACAAGTACGAAACACAGTGAATAAATACTTTTTAATATAATTAAGGAAATGATTACATGATTTCAGAGCATGCTCTGCGTACAACTTCCTAAGCAAAATAGGCTTCCTTTTGCAAAAGGTAACACTACATTAAGTACCCTAACCTTAAAAAAACCAAAATATATTCTAAAGCCATTGAAGTACAGCAATACATCTAATTTCAAAGAGGAAGCTAATAAGAGCTAAAGCTTATTCTAAAGCCATTAAAGTACATCAATGACATAATACAACAACATAAATCTAATTTAACTTAGGCTTTTTAAAAAGTGTTTCTAATTCAGGAATATCAGCCACCAGGCCTTCAAATGTTCCAATCCTCAAGGTTGTTGGGCGATAAACATTGTCAACATTGGTGCGCTTGATTGGACAAGGAAGAGGTACTTCACTAATAGGGATCTTTGTTGCATCATCTGTTGGAGTGACACACTCAGCATTTTCAGCAACACCTAAAGGCTCATATTGTTTGGATTTCTTTCCTAGACAAGCAAGATGTTCTCTTAAAATGAAATACTTCTTTTGAACCAAAGAGCATTCTTCACTTACTTTTGCTGCAGTACCATACTTAGCATCAACTATCTCTAAATTATATTGGCAGGCAATGTAAAAACGCTGCTATCTTTGCCACCTTTTGTTGAGCAATGGCTGATGTCAGACAAGGTTCACTGAAAATACACTCATTCCTCATGTTAGTAGGTGGACAAGTCACCACAACCCAGGCTATGTAACCATGGCCATCAACCCAAGTATTTTCAATAGCAGTTGCACAAGCACCAGTTTTCCTGACAACAACACCTAGGAGAATTGTGTACAGTCAAGTGAAACATCAGCATAGTCCAATGTTGAATGTGTTCCAGAGTCTACTCTTCCAGCAGGCCTACATGACCCCCTCTTCTCTTGTACTAATTCAGCACATTTGTGCTTGTAAAGCCTAGCACAGAGCTAATACATTTTGATTCTATCGTAAGTGAAATCAGCTACTTGAACTCCAAACCTAGAAATCAATCTACGCACAGCTTTATGCGCTGCCCTCTCACGAGATTCATCAGCTGAATCAGCCTCTCCACCATAAAACAAAAACCCAAACCGACTATCTGGTCGATTCACTCGCACACAAGCATTGTGCTTAGCTACATCTATGAAGCCATAAACTGGTTTCGACAATTTCAACCAAGCAGTTATCTTTTCCAGAAGAGGCTGGAATGGAATAAAAACTTTCCGTGGTGCTACAGCCATAACCTGTAATGGGAATAACCACGTTAAGGGCTATGAGTAAACGATGAATGGCCCTTTTCATCATGGCTTTTTCAAAAGCATAAACTACACAAAGAAACTTATACAAAAGAAAAGTAAAAACAAAACCTTAACCCCCTCCCTCTAAAAAAAAATAATTAAAAAAAAAACTAAACCACAAAAAAGCAGAAAACAAAATAAGCAGAAAAGAATGTTTATCAAAATTTCTATTCAAACCATTTGTTGTTATATACATAAATATACAAAATAGGTAGATAATAAGACCAGTAATTACATAATTCCAACCTTAGCATCATTCATGATAACAATCTAAGTGAATTTACCCATGCAGCATAACAGTGAACATACAACACAGTCTACTAAAACAAAAGTAAATGGGAATTTGTACAGGGAACAGACCAATCATAAATAAAAGAAACTCGGAATCAATCAAAATACTCACAATTGAAGCCTTTTAGAACTGTAAAAAGAACACATACCAAATAAGAATCACACTACAATGATAGAACAACAACTTCTGCACAAATCCCTGCCATGTAAAGAAGAAACAATAATCAGCTACTTATTAATCAGAATTGCAACAACAGCACAATCTAACAATATTTTTTGTTGAATGTATGGATTTTGTATTTATTTAAGTGATTTGTACTTCCAGGTTTGTCCAATTCGGATAATGCACTGGTCAAGATAATAAAAGTAGAGATTTGAAGTAAGTGATGTTTAATGTCTGAATTTGCAATTGTTATCCAAGAAATCAAAGCATATGACATAGAATTGAACCAGCTTCTAGTTCGGTGCAAAAGTACAAGTACTTACAAATGAAACACTATTTGAAACTAAATCCTGATCTACCAGAAACCACAATAGAAACATGCACAAGCTCATCCAACACCAAGAATATATATATATATATATATATATATATATATATATATATATATAAAGAGTAAATTCCAACATAACAACACCGCCTTAATTTTTAAAAAAAAATCTAATTCAGTCAAAGTAATCGTACAACAGTTCTACTACCTAAGTCACCTACCCTAATAATAGGTAACACTAAAACAAAGCAAGAAAATATGGAATTTTCAACTTGGGACCACCGACAACAAACACAATGCTAGCTAAATTAACAAGACTAATAAAGGCCCAAATTGTAAATTAATCTATAATTAAACCAAAACATGAACTATACCCAAATAACAAATACAACAATGAAATCCATGTACACAAACCTCGTGACTTACGCGGTACCTCCATTCCTGAGCCTCCGCCACCATTCCTATAGCAATTTCTGGCAACCAATGAGCGGTACCATCGCCATGGCAACAACAATCTCCATTCTTCTAAAGACAACTCCCTAACTAACCCAGACAATTTGGTTGTGCAAAAAAAATCGTTGCGTAATAATAAATTTTTTAATA